CCCAATGGGCAGGTTATATGTTGATCATTACGATCAGTCCCCCTTTCTCCCTCTTCTGAGTACGTGAACATCTTTAGAGTAAACTCACTGAACTAGATTCTTTCTTGGCCTCCTGATTTTTCCAGTTTTTCTATGCCACTCATTGCCATTGAATCAGTTCTGACTTACAGCAGCCCTAAGCCGGCAGAATTCCTCTCCCTTTTCATCAGAATACCAGTTCTCTACAGGACCACTTGGATCATATCTTTAACCCGTGGTAAATTTTTAATAAAATGTGATGATCAAAATTAGATCTCCATATTTGAATAAATTTGATTATTCAGATTTTGAGATTTTTGAGAATACAGTTTTGAGATTATGGTTTATGCGTTTTTATGTGCTATACAAATATGATCTATGATCATGGAAGCTATAAGTATATGTCTGATGTCTAACCACTACAGAATATAAAAATAAGATTAGTCTTGTAGCTATCGGAGGTATATTTTTAGCTCATTGAATATACATTTTATGTAAAAAAATTAAATCTGTGAACCTCAGCTTTCACAGCTCTGAGACGAGATGCACTAGATTGTACCCAGCCACTATGGCTCTGTACCCAGCCACCATGGCTCACCACTCTGAAAGGGACTCCAGTGGAGGTACTTGGGTAGGAAAATGTGGAACAATACCCCAAATCATCAGACAGACCTGACTTACTTGACAGATTCTGGAAAAGCCTGTGACTGGTCTTAGCCACTTTCCAGATCTGAAACTGCGTTCACGTCCATGGGTCAAGTTTTAACCAAACAGTAGACAGGTCTAGGAAGTAAGCAGTAATACCAGAGAGGTATGCACCCCTTAGAACAGTCCAACACATGAGATCAAAAGGGCAGAGTTTGTGATGGGATAATCCTCAAGAGGGAGGAAATCGCAAACACAGGGAAGAAGTTGGAGAGGTGCCATTACATTGTGGAGACTGCAATCAGTGTCATAAAAACAAAATGTACATGAATAAACTTTCACCCTAATCACAATAAAAAGTCGAGAAGAGATTAAATCCTAGGACTTAGGCAATTGCTTTTCTTTGTCCCCAGCAGCCAGAACCTAACTGAAAACTTTGATGTTAAGCATTAAAATAATTGAGTAGCCAAAATCATTTATAAATTTGGCATGCCTTAAAGCCTGTGGACTATACTGACAGCATAGTTCCTTCATGTCTGCGCTACAGTTTAATGCTTATTTTACAAATAATAAAAGTGATTTCAGCTCAGAACAGTTTAGAAATGGTTGAAGGGAGGAAGAGCTAGGAAGCTATTGGAAACAAGCACGTGGCCCAGTGAAGAAGGTCTGACAAAGGACTTCCTGTCAGTGGAAGTTAGGACTGGAAACTAAAAATATAGCAATTATGGACCATTCAGTGTAACAGTTTTTAGGACCTCACTACACTGTGAAAAGATTAATGGTTATGGTATTGACTTTGAGTATATAGAAGGGTTAAATTGGTTGTGAACTATATTTATTAGTTCTATCCACTAAGCAAAATACCGTCTTCATGTAAAAATCCTATCTAGAAAAGGCATTTATTTGGAGCACCTTGTTTCTGGTGGGGACTGGTTAAGTAATGAATGTCTGCTGTTGAATCTTTCTGATGACGAATTTTGCTTTCTAGAATTTTCCCCCCATGTAATATGTCTAATGAGTTTACATCCTATGTCCTACAAGTCTAAAACATTCACCTTGTGTTCATTGTATTCATCCCCGTTTGGTGGTATCTTGCTATCATTTTCCTTTTGTAAAGTTAATTTAAAGTTGCACCATTATGTACCAGAATATTAGTGAAATCTGCCTATTTAGTTGCATCTTAAAATATGGCAACTTAATTTTTACATTTAAAAACCAACTGAGCATAGCCAGTCGTGGGTGGCTGGTACTACATCTCTCTTCTCAAAGTAAAAAGAAAAAGTCCTTAGGGTTTTCATTTTGTTGTTGCTGTTTCTTTTACGCAATCCTGGTTTTATCTGCACTAATTTGCTCTCTGTAAACGGGGAAATTTTTCCCCCCTAGGTTTTTATGGCAGTCAAAAAAGAAATGGCTATTGGCTCCTTTTTTCTGTAGACAAATATTTAGCAACTCCTGGGACTTTCTCACCTACCTGGATAAAGATCATGTAGTGAAATAATATAAAAAGTTTGTTGACATGGTGTTTTTTCTCTTCCTATCTTTTCCCATCTCTCCTCCTCAAGCTGGTTCCTATGTAGCTCTCACAGTGCAGGGACGACCGCCTGGGTCGCCCCAGATCCCACTAGCTGACCCTGAAGTAGAGCCATCCGTCGTTGGACATATGTCTCCCCTCATGACGTCCCCTCATTCTCCTGGAGCATCTGGGAATATGGAGAGGATCACTAGCCCTGTGCTCGTGGGGGTAAGAGTACGAATACTTCTTAGCACTCTTTCAGTTGGACAATCATGTCTTTGCTTTATATGCGTTTTGAAGTATTGGGTTGGCAAACAAATTTATGTTCAAAATCCAAGAGAATAATTTTTCATAAAAGTATGCATAGTGTTTTAGAATGATTCTGTAGAGTGTTTTGTAGAGATAGTAGATTTAACATCAAACAAAAGGACTCACTGCCATTGAGTTATTACTGACTTATAGCGACCCCCTGTGGGTTTCCTGAGATTGTAACTCTTTAAGAAAGTGGAAAGCCCAGTCTGTCCCTCAGAGCTCCTGGGCATTTCAAACTGCCGACCATGCACATCTCAGCCCAACTCGTAACCACTCCACTAGTAGGGCTCCTAGATTTAACTTAACAGATATTAAACAAGTGTCATATATGGAACAGTGTGGCAGCCGTGAGAATATGATTAGCTTACCTTAGGTTCATTCACTAAAGCAGGGGTCCTCAAGCCACGGCCCGCTGCCACATGCCACCCGCCGAGGACATTTATCCGGCCCACCGGGTGTTTTTGCCCCCTTTATTTTTTACTTCAAAATAAGTTATGTGCAGTGTGCATAGCAATTTGTTCATAGTTTTCTTTTTTTAACTATAGTCCGGCCCTCCAACGGGTCTGAGGGACATTGAGCTGGCCCCCTGTTTAAAAAGTTTGAGGACCCCTGCACTGAAGTCTTAGAATATAGGCTCAGAGGACAAGGACTTTCTGTGACTTTTATTTGCTTTTTTGTCCTCAATGCTTAGACTGTGGCTTGATGTATATGGTGGGTGTTTAATAAACTTCTCTTGATTTGGATTGAATTAAGAGTGTATAAAGGCAGAATAGAGATCTCCTTAGGGGAAATTGTATTAAGTTCTATTAGGAAGAAGATGAATATTTATTTGAGATCAAGAAGGACTTTATAGAAGCTAGTATTTGAATTGAACCTTGGAACACAGGTAATATTTATGAGGTAGAGATGAGAGTAAGGCAAGCCAGGTAGAAAGAATAAACTAAGGTGATGATCCAGGTAAGCATCAAGTATTTTGGGGTAGTATATCGAGTGTAGTATATAAGTAGTGCCTAGTGAGGATGTATATCGAGGGAAATGCTCTTGAATTAAGTAACTTGCCTATTTATTTTGAAAATCATCTTGTGTCTGTCACTGGATTGGCAGTCAGAACCCATGACATGGTTTTGAGTGAGAGTGATATGGTCATGAGATGGCGGTAGGAAGACTCATTGGATAAAGAGAGACAGTGAGCATCGAGTTTGAGGCAGAGTACATAATACTCTATTTCTTATATACTGGGGTAGGCAATTTCACCAACTAATTTAAGTATTCTATGTTCTTTTGAAGCCCATTTAGTAAATTTAAGGGTAAATAAAAACTATTGCTACTAGAGTTTGTTTCTACATGCACGTGTTTATCCCAAGTCAAACATGTTTGACATGATTATTGCTTGGATGCAGACAAATTCTCTTGTCTTAGTCTTGTTAGGTCGGGTGCCTTCAAAAGAAAGTGTGCTTTGTGTTATGAAAAATAAGATTTTGAGGTCTGGGTTAATACCAAACTTTTCACAAAACTTTAGTGCGCATCTTCCCAAATCGCCCTAGCTCTACAATAACTGCACAGGGTGGGGGACCCCTCATGCAAAGCAACAGTTCCTCGATGGGTCAAGTGTTCTAAAGCTGGTTGGAAGACATCAGAGGCGAGCAAGGCAGAGCGGGGAGGTAAGCTCCGAAAGCTACGGGAACTGGTTTTTGAGGGTTCCAGAGGGGCAGTTTGTATTGCTGAACTCCAAGGTCATAGGACCGCTGTGGGGCACCCATGAGGAAGCTTTAGGAAAACGGAACATTGCATTGGTCAGAACAAGTCCCGGAGGATTACATGGAGGCATGTTTTTCCATCATGAGAATGTTTCTGCTCCTTCTTTGAGGGTCATAAAGGGCAAGTTGTGTGAGCACTTCATTGGGAATCGTAACCACTCATTCTACAGTCCCGACTGTGACTGCTTCGACCTCATTTTCTTCCTCAAACTCGAAGAACATTGACAAGCTTGCTGACACTGCGGTTGGGCTCTGGTGGAAAGTAAAGAGCACAGAATTCCCCAGGAAGTGGAAACGCTCCCTTCGGATGCAGATAGACCTAGATGGGAGGGTGTGTCGTGAAACAGCCGTTCACATTGTGCTCTTTTTGTTTAATACAGGTTTCTACGATTTTGTCACAGTATTTTTTCGTGTATCTTTCTTTAAGGGCAGGAGTGGGTTCTGTAATCTTTTATCTTTAAAATTGTGTATCAAACAGCCTGCCTTCTAACTGATTGCCAATGATAAAGAACACCCTCATAGGTATCGAAAATTGGAACCGAGGCACAAACCATCAGGGGACGTGTTGTCTCTGTTTTAGCTTTTACTGCCCCTGCATTAGTTCTTTCTCTTATGTGCTTATTATTTTTCAATCTTTTTCTAGGAGGAAAACAATGTGGTTCATAACCAGAAAGTAGAAATTCTGAGAAAAATGTTACAGAAAGAACAGGAGCGACTACAGGTATTAAATTAGAATGGGGCTGCCTACAGGCCTGTAAAAATGTTGAGTGGGCATGGTTCAGTTTGTATTTATCTGAATCCTAAATCTGTATTGTAACCGACATTATCAATTTTTGAAAAAGATTTTAATTTTGTTGTGGTTGTGACTGTACACAGTAAAACATACACCATTTCAGTGGTTTCTAGATGTTCAAGCCAGTAACCTTCTTGGAGTTGCGCAACTATTTTCACCTCCTTTCTGAGTTTCCCCTCTCCCATTAGCATAAACTCATCGCCCCCTCATCTTTCTGGTTTCTGTTGTCAGTTTGATCCCATGTAAACCGAAACCCACTGCCGTTGAGTAGATTTCAACTCAGAGCAGCCCATAGGCCAGAGGAGAGCTGCCCATCAAGGTTTCTGAAGTTGTAAATTTGTGTAGAAGCAGAGTGCCTCACTTTCTCCCATGGAATGACTGGTGGGTTTGAAAGGCAAACCTTCCTGCTAGCAGCCCGATACTTAACTCACGGCTCTGCCAGGGGATCCTTGATTCTCATATAGGTGATTCTAAGAGAGCATTATGCTTAGGCAGACATGTTATACTAGTTAAGCTAAACTCATGTTTGCATTTAAGAAGACTTTAGGGCCTATTTTGGTTTAAGTCAAAAAGATTATCTCAGGGCCATAATTTCAGGGTTCTTCCAGCCACCTTGATTCCAGAAAATGTAGAACCCATGAGAATTTTTTGTTTTAATCGTTTTATTAGGGGCTCATACGACTCTTACCACAAACCATACATACATCAGTTGTGTAAAGCACATTTGTACATTCATTGCCCTTGTCATTCTCAAAATATTTACTCTCCACTTAAGCCCCCGGCATTAGCTCCTCATTTTTCCCCCAACCTTCCTGCCACCCCCTCTCTCATGAGCTCTTAATAATCTACAAATTATTATTTTGTCATATCTTGCCCTATCCAACGTCTCCCTTCACCCACTT